TTTCAGGAGTTTTTGGGCTGAGGCAATGGGGTCTTCTAGGTATACTATCATGTCGTCTGCAAATAGAGACAATTTGGCTTCCACATTTCCTATTTGAATACCCTTTATTTCTTTTTCTTGCCTGATTGCTCTGGCTAGAACTTCCAGTACTATATTGAATAGGAGTGGTGAAAGAGGGCATCCTTGTCTAGTGCCGGATTTCAAAGGGAATGCTTCCAGTTTTTGCCCATTCAGTATGATATTGGCTGTTGGTTTGTCATAAATAGCTTTTATTACTTTGAGATACGTTCCATCGATACCGAGTTTATTGAGGGTTTTTAGCATAAAGGGCTGTTGAATTTTGTCAAATGCCTTCTCTGCGTCAATTGAGATAATCATGTGGTTTTTGTTTTTGGTTCTGTTTATGTGGTGAATTACGTTGATAGACTTGCGTATGTTGAACCAGCCTTGCATCCCCGGGATGAATCCTACTTGATCATGGTGAATAAGTTTTTTGATTTGCTGTTGCAATTGGCTTGCCAATATTTTATTGAAGATTTTTGCATCTATGTTCATCATGGATATTGGCCTGAAGTTTTCTTTTCTCGTTGGGTCTCTGCCGGGTTTTGGTATCAGAATGATGTTGGTCTCATAAAATGATTTGGGAAGGATTCCCTCTTTTTGGATTGTTTGAAATAGTTTTAGAAGGAATGGTACCAGCTCCTCCTTGTGTGTCTGGTAGAATTCGGCTGTGAACCCGTCTGGACCTGGGCTTTTTTTGTGTGGTAGGTTCTTAATTGCTGCCTCAACTTTAGACCTTGTTATTGGTCTATTCATAGTTTCAGCTTCCTCCTGGTTGGCTTGGGAGGACACAGGAGTCCAGGAATTTATCCATTTCTTCCAGGTTTACTAGTTTATGCGCATAGAGTTGTTTGTAATATTCTCTGATGATGGTCTGAATTTCTGTGGAATCTGTGGTGATTTCCCCTTTATCATTTTTTATTGCATCTATTTGGTTGTTCTCTCTTTTATTTTTAATCAATCTGGCTAGTGGTCTATTTTGTTGATCTTTTCAAAAAACCAGCTCTTGGATTTATTGATTTTTTGAAGGGTTTTTCGTGTCTCAATCTCCTTCAGCTCTGCTCTGATCTTAGTTATTTCTTGTCTTCTGCTAGGTTTTGAGTTTTTTTGATCTTGCTCCTCTAGCTCCTTCAATTTTGACGATAGGGTGTCAATTTTGGATCTCTCCATTCTCCTCATATGGGCACTTATTGCTATATACTTTCCTCTAGAGACTGCTTTAAATGTGTCCCAGAGGTTCTGGTACGTTGTGTCTTCATTCTGATTGGTTTCGAAGAACTTCTTTATTTCTGCCTTCATTTCATTGTTTACCCAGTCAACATTCAAGAGCCAGTTGTTCAGTTTCCATGAAGCTGTGCGGTTCTGAGTTGGTTTCTGAATTCTGAGTTCTAACTTGATTGCACTATGGTCTGAGAGGCTGTTTGTTATGATTTCAGTTGTTTTGCATTTGTTGAGCAGTGCTTTACTTCCAATTATGTGGTCAATTTTAGAGTAGGTGTGATGTGGTGCTGAGAAGAATGTGTATTCTGTGGATTTGGGGTGGAGAGTTCTGTAAATGTCTATCAGGTTTGCTTGCTCCAGGTCTGAGTTCAAGCCCTGGATATCCTTGTTGATTTTCTGTCTGGTTGATCTGTCTAGTATTGACAGTGGAGTGTTAAAGTCTCCCACTATTATTGTGTGGGAGTCTAAGTCCTTTTGTAAGTCATCAAGAACTTGCCTTATGTATCTGGGTGCTCCTGCATTGGGTCCATATATGTTTAGGATCGTTAGCTCTTCTTATTGTATCGATCCTTTTACCATTATGTAATGGCCTTCTTTGTCTCTTTTGATCTTTGTTGCTTTAAAGTCTATTTTATCAGAGATGAGAATTGCAACTCCTGCTTTTTTTTGCTTTCCGTTTGCTTGGTAAATCTTCCTCCATCCCTTTATTTTGAGCCTTTGTGTATCCTTGCATGTGAGATGGGTTTCCTGGATACAGCACACTGATGGGTTTTGGATTTTTATCCAATTTGCCAGTCTGTGTCTTTTGATTGGTGCATTTAGTCCATTTACATTTAGGGTTAATATTGTTATGTGTGAATTTGATACTGCCATTTTGATGCTAAGTGGCTGTTTTGCCTGTTAGTTGTTGTAGATTCTTCATTATGTTGATGCTCTTTAGCATTCAGTGTGATTTTGGAATGGCTGGTACTGGTTGATCCTTTCTATGTGTAGTGCCTCTTTTAGGAGCTCTTGTAAAGCAGGCCTGGTGGTGACAAAATCTCTGAGTAGTTGCTTGTTCGCAAAGGATTTTATTTTTCCTTCACTTCTGAAGCTCAGTTTGGCTGGATATGAAATTCTGGGTTGAAAGTTCTTTTCTTTAAGAATGTTGAATATTGGCCCCCACTCTCTTCTGGCTTGTAGTGTTTCTGCCAAGAGATCTGCTGTGAGTCTGATGGGCTTCCCTTTATGGGTGACCCTACCTTTCTCTCTGGCTGCCCTTAGTATTCTCTCCTTTATTTCAACCCTGTTGAATCTAACGATTATGTGCCTTGGGGTTGCTCTTCTTGCGGAATATCTTTGTGGTGTTCTCTGTATTTCCTGCAATTGAGTGTTGGCCTGTCTTGCTAGGTGGGGGAAGTTTTCCTGGATGATGTCCTGAAAAGTATTTTCCAGCTTGGATTCATTCTCTTCGTCCCCTTCTGGTACACCTATCAAACGTAGGTTAGGTCTTTTCACATAGTCCCACATTTCTTGGAGACTTTGTTCATTCCTTTTTGCGCTTTTTTCTCTAACCTTGGTTTCTCGTTTTATTTCATTGAGTTGGTCTTCGACTTCAGATATTCTTTCTTCTGCTTGGTCGATTCAGCTATTGAAACTTGTGTTTGCTTCGCGAAGTTCTCGTATTGTGTTTTTCAGCTCCTTTAATTCATTCATATTCCTCTCTAAGTTATCCATTCTTGTTATCATTTCCTCGAATCTTTTTTCAAATCTTTTTTCAAGGTTCTTAGTTTCTTTGCATTGATTTAATACATGATCTTTTAGCTCACAAAAGTTTCTCATTATCCATCTTCTGAAGTCTAATTCCGTCATTTAGTCACAGTCATTCTCCGTCCAGCTTTGTTCCCTTGCTGGTGAGGAGTTTTGGTCCTTTCTAGGAGGAGAGGTGTTCTGGTTTCGGGTGTTTTCCTCCTTTTTGTGCTGGTTTCTTCCCATCTTTGTGGATTTGTCCGCTGGTCGTCTGCGTAGTTGCTGACTTTTCGATTGGGTCTCTGAGTGGACAACCAGAATGTTGATGATGAAGTATTTCTGTTGCTTGGTTTTCCTTCTACCAGTCTAGCCCCTTCACTGTACGACTGCTGAGGTTCGCTCCAGACCCTGCTTGTCTGGGGTGCACCTCTAGCTGCTGTGGCACAGCGAGGGATGCCACCAGTTTCTTTTTCTGCTATCTTTGTCCCAGGATGATGCCTGCCTAATGTCAGTCTTTTGGATATAGAGGGGTCAGGGAGCTGCTTGAGGAGACAGTTTGTACTTTATAGGGGCTTAATTGCTGAGCTGTGAGCTCTGTTGTTCATTCAGGGCTGTTAGGCTGCTATGTTTGATTCTGCTGCAACAGAGCTCATTAAAAAAACCCTTCTTTTTTTTTCAAATGCTCTGTGTTGAGGGGTTTGGGCTTTATTTTTGGATGTCCGTTGAGGTCCTGCCCAGCTAGGACGCAGACTAGCCACTGTTTGCCTGCTGAGGCTCCGCCCTGCTGTCGTGAGGCTCGCCCTGGCTCTGCTGTTCTGCTGTGTTCTCCGCCATGCCCTGCGGTGGAGTCTCTCTGTTGTAGCAGGTTGCCTCGGCAACGGTAGGCTGCATCAGCAGTGGGCGTGTATCTCAGTAGAGACGGGTTGCCTCGGCAACGACTGGCTGCATCAGCAATGGGCGTGTATCTCAGTTGGGGCGGGTTGCCTCGGTAATGGTGGATGCCCCTCCCCCACAGAGCATCTCGGGCCGTCTACACGGGGCTTGTTTGAAATCGCGGTTTTGTTCGTCCCACTAGGCCACCCCTAATGTTCTGTCCCTGCAATCCCCTGGGCTGGCCTACTGTCCAAGTCTAGCTCAGTCTCAAGTCCAGCCCTCTCACGTCTCCGGTTGCCGGTTCAACAGGGCACCCGGACAAACGCGCCCTGTGGGAGCGCTGGGCAGGGCCGGCCGCCACCACCCCCGCTGCCGGCTTCGCCAGGCGGAGGTTCTGCCTGGCGTCCCGCGTCTCCTCTTCACTTGGGAATTTCCCCGTTCCGTGGGCAACAAAGATCAGTCTGGAAATGCAGCTCAGACTCACCACTCCACGGACACAACGAGAGCTCCAATCCTGGGTTGTTCTCACAGCGCCATCTTGAGTCCCAGGGCCCCCATTACCCTATAATATAGGACATATATATTGTGTGTGTGTGTGTGTGTGTGTGTATGTGTGTGTGTAAAATGAGGATAATATATATAATAAGGGTATATATTTGACAAAATTAATATGCTGAGGGCTTTTGGGAACAGGCGAAATTTCAAGATGGCAACATAATCTCCATTAGTCAGGATGTTCACTGTTGTATCTCTAGCATAGTCCAAGGCATAGGCACATAGGTGGTTAAAAAATATTTGATAAGTGAACTTAATAAGTCTTACATTTTCTTTTCTTTCTTTCTTTTTTTGAGATGGAGTCTCGCACTGTTGCCCAGGCTGGAGTGCAATGCTGCAATCTTGGCTCACTGCAACCTCCACCTGCTGGGTTCATGCAATTCTCCTACCTCAGCCTCCCACGTAGCTTGGATTACAGGCGCACACCACCATACCCAGCCAATTTTTCATATTTTTAGGAGAAATGGGGTTTCACTATGTTGTCCAGACTGGTTTCAAACTCCTGACCTTGCGATCCACCTGCCTCAGCCTTCCAAAGTGCTGGGCTTACAGGTGTGAGCCTGCCACTGTGTGGCAGCCAGAGCTGAAGATTTAGAAATTCAGAGGTCAGGAGACAGAGACTCTCCTTAGGTAGCAAGTGAACTTTTTTTGCCAAAGTTACTCTGCCGTAGCTGTATGCTGGAACATTTTCTGGATCAACCCTGAAAATGGAAAAAAAAAAAAAAAAGCTGCTCATATTCTTTACACAACATATAAGGATTTTGCATTCACATGTAAAATTAGTACTATGATTGCACAGTGTGGAAAACATCCAAATGAAGCATTTAGCCAAGACCACTCCATTTAGCATGTTATGACACGGGCCAGCCTTGGGCCAGGAGCCCTGCTGCACGTACAGAGATGTAGGGAGTTGAATAAGAGCACAGGAGCTAGAGTCAGGCTGGCTGGGTTTGAGTTCTGACTCCATTACTTTTAAGCTAGAAAGACTCACTTAACCAGCCTGGGATTTAGTTTCCTTATATGTGAAGTGGGAGAGTGAAAGTAGGAAATTCACAACATGGATGAATAGCTAAAGCATTAGACTAAGTGGAAGAAGCCAGAACAAAAGGCCATGTTACTATACGATTCCATTTATACAGCATTCTAGAAACAGACACAAAACAGATCAGTAGTTATTTGGAGGTTCGTGGTGGGGGGAAGGGGTGGGGCAGTGACAGGATTGACTATATAAATGTGCATAAGGGCACTTTGTGGAGTGATGGAAATATTTGATATTTTGGTTGTGGTGTGGCTATATGACTCTACAAACATTTGTAAAAACTCATCATCTCATATGTCTAAAGAGTGCACTGCATTTAAATTATGTCTTGATAAAACTGACTTAAGAAATACAAATAGTTCATGGATTCTTGCCACCACTAAATTAAATAATGTCTGTGAAGCACTTGGAATAGCACCTAGGAGAGAGTGAGCCCTCACTGTGCATTTGCTCCTGTTACCAAGTCAGCTCTTTTAAGTTTGCATGTCTCTGAAATCCAGCAAGAAATTTTCAGAAGGTGGGATGAAAAAAAAAACTGAAATGTTTTTCATGAATTCCTAACATGATGGGAGATGGTAAAGGAAGTCTTAAGTTCCTCAGAATAAATGCACAATCTTCTAATGTACCATTAAAAAATTCAGCAACTATCACCAGTGTGAAAAATAGAGATGGGTAATGAATTAAAATCATAGTTAATCTATACTGTTCTCTGGCTATGTGTAATTACTTACTTAAGAATGTCAAAAGAAATGCTTGGGCTAGTCAAAAATGCAGGCTACTCTTTCTCTCACTCTTTCCCCAGAATCAGTCCCCCAAGTTTGCATGATTTCTACAAATTTTTAAATCTCTGCAATTTTTTGGCCCCTAAACTCTGGCATTAACCACTCCAGCTACCCTGGGCATGATCCAGACATAACAGTGAGATGGCCTTTTAGGGTGTTCACCTGTGCATGAACCATGGTCCTGCAGTCTTCTCCTCATAAGCTTGAACTCCTGAGGCCTGAGGTTGAATCCTAAGCTCTGCCACCAACTGCTGGATGATGTGGACCAAGACTCCTATGTCTCTGCACTTTCGTTTTCTCATCTGCAAATTCCAGGAGTAAGCCTAGGTGATCTAGAACTGCTTAACAAGCCAACTTCTAGAATTCTGCAACCTCTGGAATCGGGAGGCAAACATAATTTGGTTCTACTCTTAATGCCTACCAGTTATAAAAATTCTCTGGGCCAGAATTTTCTTGTATGTAAGACGAAATAATAATAATACCCACCTCCACAGGCTCTCTATGAAAACCAAATGGATGATGCATGTGAAAGCTCTTAACAGAGTTTCTGTCCCCCAAATTTTATCTTCCTTTCCTTTCATCTTGTACTCCTTTCTTCTTTCCTCCCTCCCTTCCTCTTTCCTGTGAGTATAATGGACTCCCACATAGTTTTAAAAGTGTATATTTTTGTTATTGACAAAGCATGTCCAGTCCATATTCATAGTGTCATATGCCAAATGCTATTGCTTGGTGAAGATGCTAGTTATTCATTAACAGAGAGTTTAAATACATTTTTGACTATGACAAAGGTAAAATAGCTCAGAATGCTAAAATTGACCTCTTGTTCTTTTAGATACTTAAGTTGATTGTCTAAAAGTTTCTTTACCCCTATTTTTCACTCCGTTCATTTACTTGTTCATTCAACTAGCAATTTTGAGCCCCTCTATGTGCCTGACACAATACTTGGGATACATAAATGAATCAGACATTGACCAGGTGCGGTGGCTCAGACCTGTAATCTCAGCACTTTGGGAGGCCAAGGTGGTGGATCACCTGAGATCAGGTGTTCAAGACCAGCCTGGCCAACATGGTGAAACCCCAACTCTCTGGAACCTGGGAGAGGGAGGTTACAGTGAGCCGAGATCACACCACTGCACTCTGGTCCCAGCAGAGCGAGACTCTGTCTCAAAAATAAAGTAAAATACAATACAATAAAATAAATGAATCAGACATTGTCCTTAAGTTCCAGAAGTTGCCAAGTGAATGTAGGGAGGCACAGGGCATATGATAGAAGTCTGTTCAGGATACAGTAGGGGCCAAAGAAGGGCACAGTAGATTCTTTCAGGGAGAGGTCAGGAAAGGCTGCACAGGAGAGTTGAGGCTACACCTCAGGTCATGGCAGATGAGTAGGTGTTCACCAAATCAAGGTGCTGACAAAGGGAACTGCATGCAGAGAGACAGCAGGATGCACAAAGGCCTCAGTGTGTGCAATAGCCTTGTATAATCTGGCAAGTGCATTTTGGTTGTGGTCTTGGGAATGTAGGGTACAGAGTGTTGGACCTCATGAAAGAAGAAGCTGGGAGTGTTAGAAGGGTCCTCTTTAAGAAAATGCTTTCTTAGGACAAGAAGACATCAGATGCTGCAAAATTGTTGGTGGCAACAGAAGAATTCACCAAGTCCCAATTCCACTGCCCACCATTCACACTGGTGGGCCACAGCTCTGTTGCATGCAATGGGTCTGGACACAGTTATTCAGTGTTTTCCTGGGACTCTAAAACACTTGGATTGATTTCTTTCTATTTCAGGTCATAGTCCTTAGAGGCAGCACTAAATGGAAGGCATTTGTGTAATTCTGATAGCTTGATTTTTTCTTCATAACAGCACCAGATTTTTCACTGTCTGCACAGTCATTGCTCAAGCACAAGAGTATGAAATAAATTTGTTGTTTATAAGATGAGAACCCACAATATTCAGTAAGGAGTGATGAGTTGTCGACAAGAGAATCCAGAGTTATCAAATGTCTAAAATATGCCAGTGCTTTTTGACATTCTCACAACCCAGTGTGGAATTCAGATATTTACCCCTCTGATTACAAATTCATACTCTTTCCATTTATACCATCTTGCCTCCAAGTCTCTTCTCAAAGTGCCTTGGGTAGGTCTTAACCTTTTGCTTCTAAGGAGCCAAAAAGAAAGAAAAGTGATGAGAAGAAAGTGGTCTTCCTGTCTCCTCATGTCTCACGGAGGCTGCTGATGAACAAACACTGAGAGTTCCAGTTTAGATTTAGGTGAGGGAAAAGTCTATGCCTTGGAGCTAATATAAGAGCATTGCTAAACTCTCCTGGCAACCTACGAGGCTGGGAAAAGCACCACAGACACTTTGACTCCTAGTCTTAACTGGAAACATGGAGAGAAAAGAGTTCGCTTACAGGTATAGTGACGTTTTGGAACAAAGATAGATGGATAAGAATGTAGCAAAAGGAACAAAGAAATGTATTCTCTTTCAGAACCTATTCCCTTTCCCTATTTTGTGAAGAGAATTTTCCCCCGTTAATGGTATCATTCTCTTTATTTTGTCTTCCTTTTTTTTTTTTTTTTTTTTTTTTTAATTTTTTATTGGATTATAGGTTTTGGGGTACATGAGCAGAGCATGCAAGACAGTTGCGTAGGTACACACATGGCAGTGTGCTTTGCTTTTCTTCTCCCCTTCACCCACATTTGGCATTTCTCCCCAGGCTATCCCTCCCCACCTCCCCCTCCCACTGGCCCTCCCCTTTTCCCCCCAATAGACCCCAGTGTTTAGTACTCCCCTTTCTGTGTCCATGTGTTCTCATTTTTCATCACCCACCTATGAGTGAGAATATGCGGTGTTTCATTTTCTGTTCTTGTGTCAGTTTGCTGAGGATGATGTTTTCCAGATTCATCCATGTCCCTACAAACGACACGAACTCATCATTTCTGATTGCTGCATAATATTCCATGGTGTATATGTGCCACATTTTTCCAATCCAGTCTATTATCAATGGGCATTTGGGTTGATTCCAGGTCTTTGCTATTGTAAACAGTGCTGCAATGAACATTCGTGTACATGTGTCCTTATAGTAGAACGATTTATAGTCTTTTGGATATATACCCAGTAATGGGATTGCTGGGTCGAATGGAATTTCTATTTCTAAGGCCTTGAGGAATCGCCACACTGTCTTCCACAATGGTTGAACTAATTTACACTCCGACCAACAGTGCAGAAGTGTTCCTTTTTCTCCACATCCTCTCCAGCATCTGTTGTCTCCAGATTTTTTAATGATCGCCATTCTAACTGGCGTGAGATGGTATCTCAATGTGGTTTTGATTTGCATCTCTCTGATGACCAGTGACGATGAGCATTTTTTCATATGATTGTTGGCCTCATATATGTCTTCTTTCGTAAAGTATCTGTTCATATCCTTTGCCCACTTTTGAATGGGCTTGTTTGTTTTTTTCCTGTAAATCTGCTTGAGTTGTTTGTAAATTCTGGATATCAACCCTTTGTCAGATGGGTAGACTGCAGATTCCTTTCTTCTATCTTTCTTTATTCCTGCTTTGCATTCTCCTTTTTCTCCCCTCTCTCTTTTTCTTTCTTGGTCCTTCAATCTCTTTCTTAAAGTTCAAATAGAAATACCAGGCTTAATCCCTGGGAAGCAGCTCTGTTTTTCCTGCCATGGCATTGCATAACTTGTGGTGTGGCTCTCTGCCACCATTAGCTATGCAGTGAGGTTTTATGTCACCAGGGAACATCTTGTACAATGCCATTTTTTTTTATCAAAACCAAATAGCATAACAATGCATACAGGGCCTTGTTCACATCAACTTCATAAGATTTCACTATGATAAAAACAATGAAATTGACATCTAAAATCCATCTC